GCGACATTGGCCGAGGTCTTGGGAATCGCATGAACGAACATAAGTTAGAATTTCGCCTACGGGATTCCCAAGCACGCATATTCGCGGACTCCCTTGAGTGTGAACATCGCTTTAGGTAGGATGGCACCGAGGCGATCACCATGGCTAACATGAGACAAGTAAGCAAATTCCTCGACACAAGATGGTGAATAGTAGCCACACCAAAGCCTCTTAAAATCAAGGATAGATTCTGAATCTACTGGGTGACAATTGCGTTACTCACTCTATCACGGCCCATGAATTACTTTACACGGTTCTGTGAATCAGATGATTCATTTTTATTACAGAACGTGTCCTACCTCAGGACTAGCGTTAGCTTCACTCTTCAAAGTATAACAGTAGCGAACTAAACATCCTAGTAAAGATGAAGACATTTTGCGGTTTATCAGGTAATATTCGGTTGCTTAGAAATATTATTTTTTCTTCAAAAACACGGAAAATTCCGAGAAAGTGAAAAACACGGGGGTTATTGGGTAAGCCTTAGGTTTAAATGTAGGGAGAGTCTGTTCATGCAAAGAAACGACTTAATAAGGCAGCACAAATATAAATTAATGGAATCAAAACTGTTCTAAAATCATCGCATGCATATGCATCCATATTGCGTGCAGTGCAAAGGACGGCTGCTAGCGAATAGCCCAAAGTTCATGTATAAAATCTAAATAAAATTGCGCGGATTGTCGATTGTCTCTCGGCTTTCTAAGTTGTTTCAGATGCGTTGGACTGAGGCAGACAGATTTTTGGCTTTATTGTGCCGATTGGCACATCCCAGAAGTAAGATATTTTGTAAGCTCACATATGAGCATGCCGGCCAATGGCTCATGAATATAAGTAGAATCGCCAGTTGCCGCCTTAAGCATAATATTTTTTGTACATAGAAGGAAATTTCTTTCAGCTAAAACCTTTTGAAATTATTACGGGAAATCGGTTTTGCGATTGTTAAGGTAGCAGTTTAAAATAATGAGGAACACAGTATTGTGTGTGCTGCGTTATTAGTCGATTGTCTATAAGCAGAGATTGCGTTCTACGGGTTTACCACTATCGTCAAATCATTAACCTAAATAGTCAGTTTGGAAAGTCTTTCATATGTAGCTCTCTCCTCAACTTCTGCCGGTAAAATCCCGAAAACAAGATGATAAAAATAAACGTTCACAACACACGTCTCAAATCTTGCTGTGAAAAGTAACCTCCAGAAAAAACTTTTTAGTTAAATATTTCTAAAGTCTACTTAGTTAACCTCTTTTTACGATTAGGTCAGGATTAAAATGGGAATGTTTGATCAGTTTTTGACTTTACGAAAATAAGGAGTAAACCCCTTAGCTGAAACTGGCAGTTTGCACTTGTATACTGCGGCAGTTTTCGGAATATGTTGTTTACATTGAAGCTCATTTCTATAAGCACAAATGAAAACAGTGGCAAAACGCATACTATGATATTTTTAAGAACTCACAATCTTCTGCCTGTTCCGTTTCAAGTTTACCATTTTTTATAATTAACTGCAGATATAAAACCAGAAAAGGCAACTAGCCCGTGGTGCGTTAGTAAAATGGTCATCTCAGTGAACATAGGTCCCGGGTTCGAATCTCGGATGATCCACATCAGGGATTGGGTATGAATGCCTGGTGACGGTAAATTAACCAGAAATGGTCATGCCGGTTTCCGTTGTATTTTTCAGTTCCACTCCATCATATGTCTGGAGTCGCTAAAGCGACTGCCTGCTATCACTCAAACACGAGCCTCAAGGCTCAACGCGACCAGTGTAATCCTGATTAAGAGGATGAGCAATCCACTGCAACACCGGAATTGGGTATCACTAGCTGATGACGCCCAATGAGGCCATTCTAGTGT